CCTCGTAAGTCGGTCTACAATTATAATGAAATTCGTAATGATTGTTAATAAAAAATATAGTATCGAATAGCTTCGCATTGTTATTATATCTAAACATGGTAAATGCCTTTATAAAGGAACTTATATGAATAAAGACACATAAGAGACACGGTAAACGTGTTATGCATATATGCATTCGCGCCCACGCACACGAGCACGAGCACATATTTAACCGATCGATACATTACAAGTTTATTGTTTGCTTGTAATGGAAGTTTCTTCTACATATAAAAATTCATGTATTGTAATAAGGCAAATGGCAGGCGTTTGAGAGAAAAAGTAATAATTTGTAGAAACATGTAGTTGGAGTAAACTAAATCATAACAAGTGTCTGCTTACGTATGCTGACTCATCGTTGTCTTGTAAAATGGTAAACGTCCAGTTATAAGTTCTACTTGTGAAATTGCTTGTTCGTGGCATAGAAGCGCCTGTTGTAAGTCATAAGACAATATATTAATATTTTATTCGATAAATATTATAGAATACATATAATGACAAATCTGTTTAAAATAGAAATGAAAGGTACAATCGACTTGTTGTCAATTAGCACATTATTATTTAAGAGAATAATAAATTGTTGATTGTTTAATTTTCATAATGGCACATAACACACATATTTATAGATGAATCGTAAAGAGCGTAAGTATAGCTATAAATTGGCAAAATATTGAGCAGCGCAATTAGAAAGTTGATAATGCATGCTTTACAGTTGAGAAAAACGAATGAAGCAGAGAGAAGACTAAAGAGAGACAACGATACGATGAAATGTTGAAATTAATAGTTGGAGAGAAGATAGTTACAAGGATCGTGGGTAAGTAATTTTTCGGTAAGTTTCAAAATAATTCTTCTTTAAACGTTGATTTGCCGCGTAATAATAGTATGTGGAATATTGGCGAGCACGAGTTTTGAAGAAGAAAAAACAAAAAACTATACAATCGATATCTATTAGTTATTATCACGTTTATTCTTTTATAAAATATGTATAATTTTAAATTTGTAATTTGGCGAACGATCGGTCGAGTAGATTTTCATTAGAAATATATGTGTTGTAGGGATGTGTAAATATATATGTGTATATATATATATATATATATATATATATATATATGTGTAAGCTTCATTCTAATAAATATCTTTAATAAAAATATATAAATAAAAGTTATAAAGTTATATGTAATTTGAAATGAAGGCGATAGTGGAAATTTAATGGTCAGATACCTCGAAGGGATCGATGAAAAATGATAATTATTTTTATTAACGTTTTTACGTATAATTATTACGTTTCAATAGACGTGAAATTGGTATTGAAATTATGACATTCATCATTTTTTTTTTTTTTTTTTTTTTTTTTTCTAAAATATTAACGAATTACGATTTCTGTTCCACGTTGACTCACAAATTGATTGTCAAGAATGAAAGATGAACTAACTATATTATAATGTCAAAATAAATTATAAACCTTGGAATACGATATATTTTTTATTTTCTTATCGAGCAATTATTCGTTTGATGAAAAAATTGTTTTATTATAAAAATAAATTGAGGTATTGAATTATCTTTTAATACTTTTTAATAATACAGTTATGTATGGTTTAAAAAGTTTTCTTGATATTAATATACAAAACTGATTGCACAATTATTTGATTATCAAGCAGTAAAAGTAGGCGAGTCAAGTTATATGATTAATTAACGATATTATTAAATATTGTAGAAAGTTTAAAATCCGTTGGTTATTAAATTCTTTCGAGAATAAATTGTGTTCAAGTAATGACTATCTAAAGTACTTATTAATACAATAATATAAAAAATATAGAGTATTTAATTGAATTTAGAAAATAGGCAAAAAATTCTTTTCATTCTTAAGAAGCATGAGATTCAAAATATTTTGCCTTGTAAAATTGGAAATAAAGTTAAACTATTATATGGAAATAAAAGTGGAAGAGTCAAAAATATTCATGAGAGTGTAATTTTTTACATTTTTCATAAAATAAATTAAAGTTATTAAAAAAAAAAAAAAAAATAGCGTAATTGTAAAGCGAAGAGGAAATGTGATACAACTAAATATATTAATAGGATTTTTTTGATTTTTTCATATTATTTTTTTTTATCAGATATTTATTTATTTATATATATGTATATATAAGTTTTGACGAATACCTTATAATAAATTATGTGTTACGGACGACAAAAATTCTTGCATATATTTTTAAGGAGAATAGTGATTGATCAAGCCCTCTCTCTCTCTCTCTCTCTCTCTCTCTCTCTCTCTCTTTTCCACTCTCACTGTGCAAAGGTACGTGTTGATAAGAATTTAAGTTTTACAAAACTAATTAAACTTAAGCTTTGGTAAAATAGTAAACGCTAAAGAAGCAATAATAATTTTTTACGATTAAAAATATACGAAATAGAAATTAAGTAATATTATTAAAAGTATCGACGAGGCAAACGAAACTTTCTATTATATCCTATAAATTACATAGTAAGAAAAGTGGAGAAGATCGTATTACAAGTACAGTAGAGTCCAATTTCAATGTGAAAAAATGACATTTATTAGAAATATCAAAATTGATTTGCGAAACTTGGGAAAGGATGATAAAGATCGAAATTTATTTTCCAAGTTTATTCGAGCTTTCTCAAACACCTCGATATAGCTAAGTATTTTATAATCTACCTACACTGCCTGTGCGACATTACGCGATATTTCTTTCAAAAGTAATGTAAAGAAAATAATGAGAACGCACGCCTAAAAGATAAGCATCGACCAAGCAAGCTCAAATATAATTAAACCAAAGAATATAAATAAGAGTGCATAACTTTCTAGAGTGTTTTTGATATACAGCGAATGTGATTCCGATGTGTACCTCCAATAGCTGTTTTCCTCTGACTTCTCAATGCTGTGTTGAAGCAGCTTTGTGCGAAAAAATTCTAACGAATTATGTAGATATACTACGGGAATATAAAATTAACATCGTATTGTAAAAGCATAATTATAAACAAATTGTATTTGTCGCGGGACCGCTCGTCATAGATAAATGATTTTGATAATTGCTATTGTGTATATTTACGCTTGTTTTCTCTCTCTCTCTCTCTCTCTCTCTCTCTCTCTCTCTCTTCTTATCTCTCCTAGTGATTTAGATTAAAGTCCGCGTGCATTTGAAAAACAGCCAATGTAAGATTTTCTTTCGCACCCAATTGACGAGTCAGACTGGTAATAGCTACGACCTGGATGCTGGTAAGAACCGACTTTTCACTCGTCTTTAAACAATAGATCACTCGAGCAATGAACAAAGGTCCTTGCATTAATGCGATAAAGATAAGAAAAAGGTATTAAAAGATGACGAGTGGAAGGCAGCAGCCGATACAATTAGCCGAGATTTTCTAAAATTTTCATTTGACTGACAATTGGCTCAATTACCGATCTTACAATTAATTAGGTTTTATAGTTATCTTCATTAAGCGTTCGATACCTTAATCGCGTGCTCGAGCCTAGTTAAGTACATTTAATATGCAAAAAGTGCTGACCGACCTTTCTAGCAGCTCACGAGCGTTTGTATTTTTCTTTGCATTCGAGGCTGAGTAGTTAACAGTAGAGACAAATGTCGTTGAAATATTGCTTTCTCCTTTGCTTATTCATTTGCTCTTTCATTGCAAGTTCATCTTATTACTACGCATAATTGACAGCGTTCAAAATTGATATTCTATGTTCCGTTGGACTCGTACTCCAAGAATCCATTTCCGTTGGATCCGAACTGTTTGACGTCGTTAAATGCACGAGAGAAGGAAATATTTCGTGTGTAACATCATTGAAAATATAAATAAGCCGTGAGTATGATAGAGAACAGGCAAAGGTCTTCGAAAATGAAGCAACGACGATATTTTGTAAATACACGTATAAGAATCCAAAGTTAAAAACTCCAAGTAAAATATTTATTAAGGTAGCAAGAGACATGGTAGAGACGTAAGATATGAGTTTTTGTCTGACTAATCGAGTATACGTGCCAACGAAAAACAACATATTTTTATTGCGAGGATCATTTGGATGTAAACTACGTGCAGGCAGTATACATTTTAAAATCTTTTCAGCAATGGTCATCTATTTAAGCTTCCATCCATAATTTTCTAACCTCTCACTACTAACTATAGTTTCAAAATTTAATTTAATTTCAATTAATATTCGTTTCAGTTTTAAATTACATATAATAATTATTTGCTGAGTAACAATGCAAAAATGCAATGCCTTTAATTTTTATAAGTGTTTACACTTTTCAAGTTGCGTATGATTTTAGCTAAAAAAAACATACAAACTCTTGTATACAACAGCAGTACAAAAGGTACAAAATCTGGTATAGAGATTTTTAATATTATTTGCAATGATTATTTATTAATTAGTTTATATTCAAGTGAGTTTCTGCTGAATTATAAATCAGTACTTTCATTTTCCCTTAAATCATATGAAAACTTTGAATTTTACAGATAAAACGTTTCAAAAGAACGTGAGCCTACAGTTATTACTATCAAGGATAGCACATTAAAGTTATTTATAAGTAATGTATTGTTAAAATTATTTAGGTAATTTAGAATTTTTTCTAGAAATTATTAATGTAATTTATATTTGTTTACGTTTAGTCCAGAAGGTAATACATTTACGAATGGACATCAATCTTTTGATTAACTAGAGGCAACGATTTTAAAGATGCTTAATTATTCAAGTTAGTATATAACAAATACGTATAATTATCTTTGATAGACACAGTGTATGAATTTGGATGTAAACTACAATCAAATTTTTATTATTTGATCAATGCAGATGTTAAAACAATAAATGGTAATGGAATTTATGAAGGGATAGCTGTTTAGCAAAATTTGGATAAGTATCGATACATATTGAATGGTTATTAGATATCTATATGAAAATTTGTTCAAATTATCAACATTCGACTAATTAAATGTTTCCAGATAATCAAGATCCTATTAAAGACGAATTTTGTAATTTTAAACCAACATTATCATAATATGGGTGTGACAATTCCAAACGAGTCTGATTTTTTAGGTCTTTGTATATGCAAAAATTTTAATAAATTAATTTTATATATAATCATTATGACTTTGCCCTAAAAGAAGCAACATAATTTTTTGAAACGATTACTGATATTAGTTTTATATAATAGGGTAATATACTTTACCTATGAAATAAATTGTAATAAATAATTTAAAAGCTATTGAATAGATTACTGTTATGTTTTTTAGTCGGTTGAAGAAATATTAATAATTATTTCAATATATATATTCATTACTTAACTAACTTTATTATCTATATGAAATAGATAAAATCAAATTATTTTCAATAATGTTAGAATAGAGTAAATCAATATTATGTAGATTTAAGAATTTTTAAGCATTTTTTAATACATGATTTATTTATATATTATTGATATTTGTAAATACATCTATTTTTAATTTTTGTTTTATATTGTTCTACTAATATACATTAAAAAGTTCAATAATATTGATTTTAAATAAATTCCTTCTTATGTTATTTTGGAAAAAATTGTTCAAAAGCTAATTTGAGATAAAAGTTATTTAATTTAATGCATAGTATATATTAGTTAAAACTATATATAATTTATTATTAATTTGAAAGGGAGGAAACTTACACCTTAATAATTTGTATTTTCTAGGTCAACAAAGTTGTATTAAAGAATAATTCGTAGTTCCTTATTAATAGTTTTACAGTCGAACGACTATGGCCAAATTCATGTAATTTTCAGTTTTGTGCATTACGAGGTATTTACTTTTTAAGAATTTTGTATGAGTTTAGGATGAATTATTATTTAATACATCAATAATCTCTCATATTAATTTTGATAATATTGATATAAAGTGGAAAAGAATTTTACAATTGAATTGATATTATGAACAAACTTTTGTAAATCAAACAACCGTTATAATTTATAGGTATTATAAATTTCCAAAGTTTCATAATTTTGATATCGTTTTTTACTCGAACTAGATAAAAATAATATTAAAATAATAAAAAATAATAAATAAATAAACATTAGTGATGTTGAACAAAAGACAGTATTTTCAGAGAAATGTAAGGTGAATTTGCTTGTAAATTTAAGCTTCACGATTATCATTAATTATTAGATGAATATAAGCAAGTGGAAGACCTATTGGAAATCAAATAATGATAATACAAAAAAAAACTCATTTCAATTTAATAGTTATTTTAAGTTGTTCATTAATATAAATATTTTATAAAATATTCTAATAACTTTGATTTTTATTTCTGTATTTAAGAAAGTTACATACGAGTGAAAGAAATGACAATCGTTTATATAAGCCTGAGGACAAAATACTGAAATTTTAAAATAAATAATATTAATATTTTATAAAATATGAATTTTGCATTTGAATATTTATTCTTCATATGTATTAGGTATTCTTTTATTTTCATATGAAAATAGTTTCCTTAATAAAACTACTATTTAAAACTAACTAAATTTTCTTTATATAAACCTCACTACCATTAATTTTTTTTTTTTTAAATATCTGTTACATATATATATATATATATATATATATACACATTACTTTGCTATCCATTTTAATCCGTATCAATACTTTCTCTATTGGACTAAGTGATTTAATTTTTCAAGAGATATTAATAAATAGATAACTATTTAAAATAATTTTGCATAAAAGATTTCTGTATGTATTATTAATATTTTTGTAAAAAATTGCCACACCAAAATGTCGTTAATATAAAAATTCAAATTTAAGTTTTGTTCATTGAACATAATATTGTCAAACATCGATGAAACATAAAATTCTATAATTATCAAATTCAAAAATTTGTATAATCCTAAATAATGCATTTTTACGTAATTTCTTCATTACGAAATCTTAATAATTCATTTTATAAGAATTATCAATTAGAGTGTAAATTATTATTATTTTTACTCTACTAATTAATGTAATAATCATTATATCGTGATATTATTCCATTTTACAAGATGATAAACAGATAGACTTTTCGAGGAATTGCTAATGGCTAATTACTACTACAGTTTTAAAAACTTTATTATCAATAGGGACCTGAGCACACTGGCGACACGTGATCTTTTAACATTTTTAATATATTTAGTACATGAATGAACAATTAAAATGTACTGGAATTATATTAAGATTGAAAAATATCATATTCGAATTTTGAATAATCAAACTCTTTATTTAATTTCTCGATATAATTAAAATTCAATCAGTTTGTTTTTGGTTCGAAGGATTTGTTTGAAGCGTCAATATTTAAAAATTTTGGAAAGTGTCGAGGCTTATTTTATATATATTTATTTATAGTCCATTAAATAAATGTATTAAGTCTTCAATATACTCTTCAATATATATTCTTTTTATACAAAATTTATAATATTTCGTAATATTGTAAAAATATGCTGAAATATACCGTATGCATAGTTTATTTGTTAGAAATGTCGGTTTCCCTGGCAATCGCAGATATACTCGACTATATTTATTCCTTTTATATAATATTGCTTTTTGCAAATTTCGAAATTGTAAGAATAAATTACCCACAATAAGCTCCAAAAAGTATCCATTTCTATAAAAATCAATCTTCTTATAATTTTTTTGTTTCACATTCATCTTAATATCCACAAGAGACTCTTGAAAATATTAAAAAGTCACTGTTCAAAAACTACTCTACATAACTCTGTATAACTCAACAAATTATCTCTAAATCCCTTCCGTCACGTAAATTCGTTGAATTAATAGGGCGTAAGACCTTATGCAAGTACAGTTACTATTTTCTGGTATTTTGGTGGAAAATTATGAAAATTGTGTATTAGAGTCGGCAATTTAAAAATTTCAATGCATCCAGTATTATATATGCACAAAAGGCGCACAACTACGCATGCGTGCGATTATTTAATAGTTCCTTTGATAGTATTACGCGCGTATAACTACTGATCCAAGCTGCCGAATGATTTATGCTTATGCGCCGATTCAGCATGATATTAATGAAAGTGTGCGTATGATAAGGAAAATGCATAATGCTTGTAGGTATTTTAATGAACAGTATTAAATATGTTTATAGAGATAGATAAATAATAGAGCTATTAGAAATGAGTTACTTAGGGTATTGCGATAGATCGATTATAAAGAAATTTACTTTTCTTTTAACAATGATATTAAAGTAGTAATTTAAATGATCGATCGCGCGCGTCCCATGCGTACCCAACGCATCCTTGCATATATATATATATATATATATATATATTTAAATTAATATTTACCAAAATTGATAAAACGATAAAAAAAGTTTCGGCATTGATAAGCGGAAATTATAAGTTTGGATAAACTTCATCCACTTAGTTTGGAATTTTCTTTTCTTTTTTGCTCTTTTATTTTTCATTGCTTTCTAAAAGTTACTATACTAAGAAACGGGGGAACGAAAATTAATAAAAAATTATTAAACATAACCTTAAAGGAAATATAGTTAAATGTAGTTACGATTATAGTTGTAGATTTTATTTAATTTACTTTGTTCTTATCTATGTATATAATTTGTGTTTGCTTATTTCTATTAATAGTAGCGAAAGTATGCAATAGATAATTAACAAGATTTTAAATTACAAAGTATATTAAAGAGACATAATTTCTACTAGGCATTTATTATTTTTATTATTAAAAATTATTATTATTATTAACAAATACGTTTCATTACTATAAGTATACAATTTATGCTAATTATTTCTACTAATAATAATGTAATTAAATAGAAATTTTTAATAACAATCGAATATTTAATGTCAATAAATTTTCTTTAGAAATTTTAATGTAGAAAATTAATATTAAAATGAATTTTGAAATTAATAAATTTTTTAACAATATGATAGCAATTCTTTTATTATCTTAAATTTTACTTAAAAAAAAAAAAAAAAAAAAAAAAAAAAATTGATAGGTTTATATAATATGTACTATTAAATTCGTTATAAATATTATTTTGATCAATTTCCTAAATAAATTTAGATATCATACAAATGTAATAAATGTTTATTTACATTAAAAATATATTACAATACTAAGAGTATATATATATATATATATATATATGAATAATAATTTATGCTTATTAATATAAAATTGAATTTTTCAGATCTGATAATGAAAAATGAAAAATTTTAAAAATACTATTTAATAGAATAAAATAATATTTGTTCTTGAATATGTAATTATAAACGTTTGACATTAATTTATTAAAATGTGCATTATTTAATGTATACATTGCAAAATATATAATTATTTTATTATTGAACATTTTGCGGATTATTTTTATAGTTATTTAACTTTCTATTTTAATTAAATTGTTTATTATTGTTTTGTTGATATTACAATTATAACAGAATTAAAAGAATCTTATGCTTTAAAATCGTATAATTTGTACGATGAATGGTGATATTTCTAATATAAGATTTGTAAATGTATTTCATCGAAATATTTTTAACTCGGGACTGCTTATATTAATTGAAAAAATATAAGAAAAAAATAATGCTCTCGTAAAAACTAAAATTGTAGGTTTAGGTAAATAATAAATAAGTGCGTTAACAAAGATGGATAACTAAAAAGTCGAAAAGAAGAATAACCCACTCTAATATTTCGTTGCTTATTAAAAAATAAACAAGAATAATTTATTAAAGAAGAGATTATAATTTCGGATGATTCAGATTCTGACGGTATGGACTCTAATATATATATATATATATATATATATATATAATAAAAAGTGCTAAACGTTCGCCAGAAATTTAATAAAATAATAATAATAAGCTTAGATAAAAATAAGTCGAAAAGTGTAAAAATTATAATAATAATTTTATTGTTAATAATAATAAATTTGAAAAGATATTAAAGAATCTGCGTGTTTATTATTTTATTCACTTATCGGTAATCTAATGCTTTATTTATTTATTTATTTTTTTTTATTTTTATTTTTTTTTATTATTATTATTATTGTTATTATTATTTTTTATTAATGCTTAAGTTCAATCACTCTCGATTGTCTCCGCTGCAATAAAACCGAAACATTATTTAGTACCACAATAAAAACGACCTGTAAAGAATGTAAAATAAATATGTCATAGGTATGCGACAAATGTACTCTTGGATATGAATAATTGCCTGCATTGTATAGACACTTAAAAGTACAATGTCGATCCTCGTTACCCAATGGACAAGCACTGAGTAAGAAATTCTTTTACATAAAAGAATATGTCTTTGCATTCTTGGCGAACGATGGGAGCAATCGTAATCGTAAACTTGTCAAAGCTCTTTATTCATGAAATGATGTGCTGCAGCCCCGACGAAAACATTTATTCGAAAGTGTGCTAAATGCCGTGGTATACAGAAGTTATGGCAAACAAGGAAATGCAAAATGTGTCGTAAACGTAAGATGAAGATGTGCTTCGAGTGCGCCATATGTGGCAGGAAGAGTTACACTTGGTACTCGAGTCTCTATGTGCACGGAAAGCTCCGCTGTCAATCACCGTTAAAGACACGACTACAGCAGCGACTGTAATTTTAAGTGCACGAGTCAGTGCGTCCTGGGGAGACACGGGAAACAGCATATCTTTGAGTTGAGCCGTATCTGGTAAATTTGACATGCAAAAAGTGTAGTAAAATTTGCGCCGATGCGTTGCGATTGAAGACCCACGTCTTCAACATTATCGTGGTATAAGCTTTTATTATTGCAAGTTTTGCACCTACAAGTACAAATGCCAAGATAATGTCAAGAAGCACCTACTGTCCTGCCACAAGGATGCTGTGCGAGTCGAAAGCATTGACAATATCATTGGAGGAGGTGAGCGATAAAAGATTAAAATCTCGAGGTATGAAGTAATGATTTTTCGACTTATCCTCGTATTAATAAGACGGCTTGTAATCGTCTAGTTAATAAATAAATTATACGTTATTGCTAAAAGTAAATTTAAATAGTCGATGGCGATGATATAATCACGATTGTTTTTAAAATAATTTTTTACACAAATGTATTTTTACAGTAATACTTTTTACAAGCCTTAACACGAACATAAGCACAAAAAGGTCAAACTTAACTCAATCTCGATCTCTTTATCCAGATCTCCAACATATGAAGAAGTTGTACTGCCCGGAATGCAAGACGTCCGTGGATTTACACTTAGGGACTTTACACCTACATCGATTGTAAATCAGGATACCACTACAAATGCACCGGCTGTGGTAGAGTATTCAAGGATGAGTCGTCGATCAACCGTCGTCACAATCCGGCGAATGCACGCCAAGCTTAAGCACAGCTGTAAAAGCCGCAATAAGTTATTCTCATTTTATGAAGACCTGGAACGAAGGCTATAAGAGTCATGCGGTAAGGAGTCGCAATATGAGTGGTAATATTCGTTACTTCAGGACTTTAAGATATCTTACGTGCCATATGCGCAAGCTGCATAACGAGAATCGACGTTCTTGCGTTTGCTCCGTCAGCGGAATCGAATACAAAACTAAGAAGACTCTTCAGAGGCATACGTTACTTGTCTGTAAATGAAATGAAATGAAATGAAAACAAAAAAAAAAACCAAAAAAACAAAAAAAAAAAAAAGAAACAAAAAAAAATAAATAAAAAATAATCTTATTTCATGTAATCGACGCTGCGTCCTGTATTGTCAATTTACATTTTTATTCGAATATTGATTCGATGATCGATAGCTGAATATGCTGGTCCAATGACAATACAATTCAATTGTTTCATTTTCTTATTATTATTAATTTGTAATTATCAATTATTTGTGAATGAAGAGCAAAGGATTTTCCATACAGAATGCGTTAAACGCATCATTAAATTATTAAAATTACTAATCTGTTAAAATTTTTATATATTCTACCAACATACGCATACACATATTGAGCGATTGTAAAAAAATAAAGATTTTTCAAGTAATTTTTTCGCAATATAGAACTGTTAGATAAGAAATAAATGCCGAATTTTAGAATCATTTGAGAAATGTAAATGTATATCGGACATGATTAATTTAAGTTAAAAAATTAAATTTTGAAAATTCACCAATGATATTATAATTCACGAATGAATGATATTTCATTTATATGAAATTTTCATATGAAAATTTCAATTTATTGATTTATATTTCATCCAAAACCAATTGTCCAATAATGTTTTCAAATTTTTTTATTACCTATTCGTATTATTTTTATGAAAATTTAGTTAATTGTAGACAGTCGAAAGTATAGTTATATTTTGACTTAATATAAACTGATTTTATTGTCTACATTTAATAGTGGAAAAGTTGAAGAGACATCAATAGCCGTTCGTTATTTTCCCTTTACAACAATTATTTGCTTTTACTGCAATAACGATGTATCTGTATTAATAAATTACAGATGTCAATGTGATGTAACAAATTTCTTTATTCAAGCACTTATATTGTCGACGTATATCAAGCAATAAATATTTCTTTGAACTAATTATTTTAAATGATACATTGGAATCTTACAAACTACATGGATAAATTTAATTTGGTAACAATTCTACTCTGAAAGAAAAAAAAAAAATATATATATATATATATATATATATATATAGATATTTTTTGTTTTTTATAGAACATGATGAATCATAAATGTGGAAATGTTTAGAATGAAATCTTGCAATTTCTTTTCCATCTATCTATTTCACTTGAATATCTTTTGTATGAGTAAAAAAATTTCTATAAATACATCTTAAAATGATATTTGTTAATAAATCAATAATGAATATTCAGTTTAAAATGCATTTGCTTATTAAAAATATTACTTATAGAAAAGATAATATTTTTGTCCAATACTAACAAACTAATAATTGCATTCGTTATTTATTTTTATAATTTCTGCTATTAATTCTAATAGGATATAATGATGTACAACTCAACAATTATTTATTATAGACTAATTAAATCTGATATCGAACAAGTATATTGCAATATCTATACATAATTAAAGATACTTAACCACATTATTTTTCTGGACACATAAATAATGCATTTTGATCAAAAGGTTTCGAGAATTGAAAATTATGAAAGTACATATGCAATGTAATATAGTAATGTGATTATTAAATGAGAATTAATTGATAATAAATAAGGTATAATATAATAAAAACATATTTTAAATTATTAAGATGAAATATATTTCATTATATTAGATATCATCAATTATATGTATGCGTTGTTTATAGTTAAAAAGTGTTCATTAACATTAAAAGAATATTACATGTATGACTAAATATTTTTTCTAAACCTAAATTAATTTTCACGTTATTTATTAATCAATATTTGATTATTTAAAGTTGTTATTCTGTCTTAGAATTAACTATATATATATATATATATATATATATATATGTTATAAGATTTTGAAAGATCAATGATGCTAATAATACGTTACAATAATATATTGATATACAAATTAAATTATTTATTATAATATTTCTATAGTACAGGATAGTACTTCTCAGTAGTGTTTATTAAACAATTATTATTCTCTATATGATATAGAAAAAGATTCTTTAACAGTTAAATAAATATGAAAATAAACCTATCATATAATGATTTATATTGTATTAAGATATATATGCGGCGTACTATGAAAAAAGACGATATGTTGTTTGATTATGATATATGTGAACAATATTTATCAATTATTATTTGCATTATTAATATATTGTAAATTAAGCTTACGAGTGAAAGAAAATTCGAAGGTCATATCAAATAATTTGAAGTATAGAAAAGATAAATATTTACTAAAATTTTGACTTTTGATTATTTTGTTCAATTGCATTGAATTTTTAAACAAAATAAAGCATTAGGAATAAAATTAAAACATTTTTAATAATACCTTAAATAGTTATCGTTAGGCTTATCTATAAATTAATGAGACATAAACACACGATTTATGATGAATTTAATCATTATAATATTTGCTAATAAAAATAACCGCTGAATAATATAATTATCTTAATGAGACTGTCGATTTTTAAATTCTGAAAAGAAAACACGTTCCATACAATCGTAGCCATTCGTTAATGTATATTATTTACTCATTAATTGTTAATATACTGATTAATCAATTCATCAATTCATTCCTTGTATTTTAAACATTAACTATATATTATTTTGAATGCATTGAGAATTCTATATTAACTGACACGCGTACGCAAAAGGTAATTTAAACGAAGTATGGTCATAAAATAAAAATGTATGCTTTATATGATAAACATCGTCGATGGATTACTTTTTTAAATTGAAATAATAGCCGTGGGTTAAAAATGTTTTATAAGTAGCGATGGTCGAACGGTAATTAAGGCATTGAAAGGTAATAGTTTCTTATTAAAAATATGAATTTGCCCAATAATAAGTAAAGTATTAATAAAAAGATCGATAAAGATTTTTCACATAAATATAGAAAGGTTAAAGCCAATTATTAAACAATCGTTGTGAATGTATTATTAATAGTTGTAAAAGTCGTTAACAATAGTCATTGATAATATGGCAAATAGCTAATTAGTAATAACAAATATAATATAGTGGACGAAAAGCAGTAACATTGTTCGATTGAATGCTACACTACACGATTATGATTAAAACATTGGAAAAATGTTTTCATAATCTCGAGAATAACATGATTATTTACAATAAATATAATATAAATAAAATAATATTCATTATCCTTATCGCATCTTTTATAATTAAGTTATTAAACCGTTGATTGTGTAATTTTGTAATTTATTCCATACTTCTCACCACTTTCAATTTCTAATAAATAGACGTTCTATGTAGTAGAATACGCGTCATAAAAAAGTGTAAAAATGTCAATACAATACGAAAGAAAAGGCATTTCTCATTGGAAAAGGTATTTCTGCAAATTTCAGAATAAAGCTAATATCGCTAAAAATAGGAATTTTTGTTTACCATTAAATTGTTAATATTATTCATCGGTATTCGTAATTTTATCGTACTTGCGAGCTCTATTGTTACATAAACATTTATCTAAAGGTGCATAAATATAAATGCAAGATTTTTGATTAATTGTAGTTGATAGAGCGAGGTGATCAATGAGCAATAATAAATTTCTTAAAATTCTGTTGGACACACACGCAAACACAAAATTCCTATTATAATTTTATAATTGCATATGCAATGTAATACAACAGTTTATTACAGTAGTTGAATTCGTTGAAATTTTTTTATATTTCGATTGTATGTTAAATAAGACGAGCATATACACGTATATGTACATATATTCAAAGTGGTAAATTAAAAATGTAGATTATGATTTTGCGCAGTTACAAAATTAAATAAATAATAATTATCACATATCGTGCGGGTAAGACGCACTACTACTACAACGATAAGCAAAGACTTTAAGCGCCACATTGTCTGTACGTCACAGGCATTGTTGATTATCTGTTTATAATTGTAAAGTTTTCATCTACGGGATAAAACGATACGTTATTAAGCTACTTTTTCGTATTTTTTCCCCTTTCTTTTTGATTACTTGATCGTTACACGACTATTTCATAAGATTATTATTACAGAATTATTCTATTTATTTATCGTCTCTCGTTGACAAAACGTGTTTCCTTCGTCCCTTCTTAATCATTGTCTTGGAAAAGCAATGAAAAACGTGGGAAAAGAAAAGAAAAAAAAAATCTCTACTTTCTTTGGACTGCAGAGGCTTACATTCACGTTACATGCGCCAAACCACGCAACGCAAATGCATTTCACCACTACGTCGCGTCAACTGTCTCCGACTCTCCGACTCTACGCACACTTTCTTAAATGAATATTTCGTAGTTGCGAAGGCGAACGCAATTGAGGATATAAAGTTCGCCAATGTGTCGACATAACGCTAGTTTTCTCAGCGGCGAAAGCGTCAATGAAATTTATGCGCGTACGCTGAGCCGAAAGATAGAGTCGAATTCGCCTCGGCCACACTATGCTTCCTCATTCGCACCTGTGATTTAATCTTATTTTACTTTGTTTTATTCGCTCTTGTGCCCGAGTTGTTGGGAGAGTCCCGTACGAGGATGGATACTTCCTCGGTCGAAGAGGTTAGGAAATTTCCACTTTCACCTCCTCTTCAGAATGTTACTGCAAAAGGTGAGTGATTGCACTTTTTCAAACAATTGCTCAAGTCTCTTAATGAACCAATATATTTAATAATTTTTTATTCGCACTCTACTTTTACAATCCCGATTATTTTACGTGTCATCGAACAGTCATATTTACCATGGAGAGTGTTTTCTTTACGCACCAATACACTTTTTATCATATACTTTCATATTCAGATTTATATTTCTTATCAGAATATAAACTTAACCTCAGGCTTATTTTATCCAGTAATTTATTCAATCTATTAACATTGTTTAATTAAATAATATTTGCAGATTATTGTGCGTTTGATGTAATTAACTTGCTCTCTCCGCATACTTTTTTCTAGTTGAAATCTAACAGTAAATCGAGAATTTCATTTATTTCATTTTTATGTGAAGTTACGCATCGATTTCTAAAACCATAAATTTTATAAATTTAAGCATTTTGTTTGATCGATTTGATTATATCAAAAATTTGTCATAGTTCAAATCCATAGCAATTACTATTAATTTATTAAAATTTTCAATCTTCATTACTGTTCGATTACAGAAGCAAATAACAATAACAGATCGATAGTTCTTTATTATTATTATTTTATCATTACGTTTATTTAATATTTAATTACACTACATTTTGATTTTCAACTTATTATCTGACCTCGTTGTAATGCTAACACACAATAATAATTAGGTATAATTGTTATTGTTTATTTGTTTTAGAGATTGGTCAGGGGCAAAATGTTATATCGTATCAAGATATAGCCACAAAATTACTTAGCGAAAGGCTGCTTCTTACTGCTCTAGAGCTTCACATGGAACTATGCGAGACGGATCGTGAATTGCCAATTTTGAAGGATTATTTTTCAAATCCCAACAATTTCGAATGTTTAAATATGAAGTCAGAACCCTGTTTGTCATTACGTAAGAATTCAAATCAATCGATAATATGAAATTGTATTGCGGTACTATTATTAATTCATACAGTCTTATATAAATATATTGTAAATAAATAAATGTGTGTGCGCGTGTGTGATACTTCATAGATGAATAATGGATGTTTTGTTTCGAACTTTATTATTAATAGCAAGGTCATCCAGTCAAGCGACATTAGATTCTCTCGATATGACTAGATATTCCGAAGATGGTGGTGGAGTAGATGAAAGAGTTGCTGTACTTGAATTTGAATTGAGGAAAGCAAAGGAAAACATTAATTCGCTACGTGCTAATCTAACCGTAGTAACAGGTTACATACCCTTTATTTCCTTTATTTTCTTAAATTAATATCTGATATTTTAAATTACCAGTTGTCTATATATACATTTATTGAAACTATATATAGTATTGGATAATTTTTTGAAAAAGATTGATTAAAGATTGGAAATTTATTTAAAATATCATAATTTCTTTATTTTATATTGGTTGATGATTAAAAGGTGTAGAAATCTTATATATATATATATATATATATATATATATATTCTTGTCTTTATACTTTGAAAATTTTATATACATCCTTTAATACGTATTAAGATTGAACGATTATTGCTTTATAGAATCTGAAGTAAGCTCTCCTGATAAAAGTTCCGATAAACACGGAGTCTTGGAGTATCCTATAAAGCCTCACGAACAACGAGCTGTTAACTATCTTGTGAACGAGTACTTGCTAGCCAATTCGTATAAGCTGACTTCGATCACATTCAGCGACGAGAACGAGAATCAAGACTTCGAAGATTGGCAGGACGTTGGCTTAAACATCCCCAAGCCTCCGGAACTATTACAGATTTACAGAGATTTTATGAGATCGACGGGCTATGATAAACCACCTTCGAGTAGCATCGCTGTACAAACCGATGACGAAGATTCTGAAAATTTGATAAAAGAAGCGGAGCTTAATAAGTTAGTTAGTGAACAAGCAGAGGAGATGGAGCGATTAAAGGAGCAAACTATTACGTTACAGCAAGAGAAAACGAACCTTCAGGAAATCATTACCAATGCTAACTTAACCAGCGTAGCTACAGAGGTACTGTAGCGTTTAAAATTATTTCACACGATAGCTTAAATTTTCATACATTCCAACCACTATTATTATAAAAGTTTTTCTTTTCTTTACATACGACAGCAAGGCAGTTCTGGAACAATTCAGACATTGAATTCGAGCTCAACGACACCTGATAAATTCGAAATGCTGGAATCGCCACCCCAGGATGTGTCGTCTTCGAATGCTGCACAGGAGATTGAAGAGGACGACAGCACTTCTATGGTTGTAAGCCTGGGCGAGACGGAGACGAGTGAACGTGATTGGACCAGAATACATTTGACAAGGACAGCAGATGCCTCCGACAGTACGGCCAGTATGATCAATTCGCCATCGAGGTATAAACAATCTCCTCTCCTTATCTTATCAACGCATTAAATTTTTAAAGTAACTAAAGTACGGCTAAATTTCAGTTGTTTTGTTGTTTTTTTTTTTTTTATTTGTTTTTTTCAACACTTTGGGCATTTGATTATTAAACATTTTAATTATTATTTTGCGATTAAAAAAAGTTAAGCGATCGATTGAAAATAAGGGAGACAATGAATTTTAAGGGTTGATAAATAATTGAAATTCTTCTTAATAATTAGCCATTCATGGGTTTATTAAATAAATTTTAAGCGTAAAAACATGATATGCCAAAGTATATGATAGACCAATGTTCCTTTCGATGGCTTGATGTTTATTTTTAAAAATTTTCATCCTATTATCTTGATTCGTCCAGACCAATTGGCTCGAATTTGTCCTTGAATCAATGTGCTTTATCTTATTGCACCGTTTACAATGGCTTATTGTCTCTCTCGTACATTCAACAGTCTCGTATTTTTAGGTATCTGCCGGCGTCCTTCCGGCGTGAAGTACTCAGGCAATGCCAGACCAGCATCCCCTCGAGCGCCATCGAGGTAATCGAGGAGCCCCTCAAGGGTGGCATAACGCGTGACACCATCGTCGACATTGCCACGCACACGCTGCCGCGTATCGTATCCAACGTCATTCTGAACAAGCGCGAGGAGGTCATACCGCTTCTGCTGAGCATCGTAAAGCTGCAAAGCAATTCGGTCGAGCGGGAGAAGTTGCTGCAGATCCTCTTCAATCTGCAGAAACGCCCCCAGGAGGAAGACAGGCAAATGATTGTCGCGGGTGAGAATTAATTCGATCCTGTCTCTCTCTCTCTCTCTCTCTCTCTCTCTCTCTCTCTCTCTCTCTCCTTATCCCTTAATTTACTCTAGATATTTCAGTCAAATTTTTAATTAAATTACGTTATTGTGTATCGCTTGGGTCAATTGATTATTCCGATCATTTCAATCGAGACAAATATCAAATTGTAATTAATAATGTCAATTATATAAATTTTTTATATACAGTTACGTAATTATTTGGACGTAATTACGATTTTTCTCTATCTTATAATTACGTAGCGCATGTCCTTACAAATTTGAGGAATGATTTTTGTTTCTTTATGAAAGAGCGATTTATATTTTCAAATTTATATGAAAAATCTACGTTTATTCTTCATAAAATCTTCGTAATACTTTCACACTTTCATTATGGATTATCCTTCTGTAATTTAATCTCCGACATGGCTTTAAAATTATTATAAATATTAAAGGGCCTACAGTATAAATATTGTCGTTTTAAAGAAAAATTTCTTTTCTCGTTATTGTTGTTGTTGTTGTTGTTGTTGGTTTTTTTTTCTTTTTCTTTTTTTTTTCTTTTCTTTTTTTTTGTTTTTAACAGATAATATAATTGATGAATATATTTAAAAGTATGAATTTAAACAATATTTTAAGTAATATCGTCGATACTGGTGTTTACATATGTGTTGTATCGACCGAGGTGGAATAGCCAAATTACCTGGATTAAAAATTATTATCTTTCCGTTATATTATATCAATGAAAAAGTTAGTGAAAATTAATGATTTAAACTTGTACAGAATGGTAAACGTATGACTGGGAAGAATTTTCAATGAATACTGTAATAAAAGCCAGTGCTAAAAAGTCATAGGCATAGTTGTTTATTCAGGGTCACGAGGTATTGCGAGAAAGTACAATTGCGTGTCTACTATTCTCAGGTCTGACGGTGATCGCGAAACTTGAAAACGAGCCGACGGACAACGAAGACGTGCTGAATCTCTGCTGGGAGCAGAGCCAACACAAGTACCCGGAGCGTCGTTTACTGGCAGCCGAGTGCTGCTCCGCATTGGCAATCTACACGACCAGCAGCATCAGGAATTCCCTGATGTTATCCATGCTCCAGCAAATGCTACTCGACGACAAGGAATCCGTGGTGAGGGTCACGGTAGTCAAGAGCCTCTCTCTCCTCGTTGCCCTTATGGACGACCCGGACAAGTACTTTCAGGTAAGCTAGTTGTCGATTATCATTAGATTCTTCATCATTGAAGCCCTTAATGTCGATTCAGTGCGAGGAGTTGGCTCTGACGGCCTTGGGCGATGCATCCCAGGAGGTCATCGAAGCCGCCTACGTTGTTCTCGTACCGGTTCTCGCTCAGTGGGCGCTGTCTCTCAAGCGGTTGCAGTCTCACTTGCTGCCCCGCATCCTTGCCAAGCTGAGAAACCTCCTGAAACCTTCTAGTTCACCGAGCAAGGACTACATCGACGGCAACAGAGCGGCCGCTCACATCACAGTCCTGCGCTACCTGTTGCCGCATACAGTCATTAGTGTTATCGATACCGAACCTGTTCGCCGCCGAATGCAGGAGAGTCTCTCGTCCCAACTACGTAAGTGCTCTCTCTCTCTCTCTCTCTCTCTCTCTCTCACTCTCACTCTGACTCTCACTCTCTGCATTAAAAGAAGCGAGCAGTTTAACTATCATCATCATCATCATTATTATCATATATATATATATATATATATATATATATATATATATATATATATACATTTTTTTCTTCTTTAACATTATTACTTATGTTTATGATTAGCTTAAATAAAAATAAAAATGAAAAAACATTGTTTATTTAAAGGATAAATTGTTATCGACAAATTTGAAAGAGTTTTTAATTTTGATGGGCAAATGGTGATTGAGCTTTATCATTATGAGATCTTTTATAATATAAGAATGCATTAACGAATTTTATAAATTTTAAATATAATTTACAGCTCTGGAATTTACGAATTTGTGTTGCTCGTCTATAGTCAATCCAAAGATCTTTTACGAATGCGAAGTGGATATGGGAATATTGTTAAATACGTTCTTTCTCAATGCCTGGAATGATTACACGTGGCCCGAATTAGACTGGTTGTCTGAAAAATTGTTAGTTTAAAAATATCAAAGTTATAAACTAACGCTTTATTAATTCATGTTATTTGTTTTAATAGAATACTCGATGTTATTGATATAACAAAATCTATAAATGCAGCGCAAGAAAATATCGTCAATGAATTACTTACATATCTTCAATCCTTATGTTTTGGTTTTGGAAAATATATTACACAATGTAAGGTCAGTTATATCCTTTGTAATAAGTCAAGCAACACGAAGCAAAATTTTTTTCGTCTTTTCGTAATGCCATGGCAACGTTATTATGTTATTAATAGAATTGTGGAAATATCATTTATTGTGAAAATGAGAAAAGAGAAAATCTATGAATCTCTTTTAGCACAACTTTATGGAAACAAAATAGAAAAATTGTTTTTCTTTTAATTTTTATTTTCATTATTATATTAAACAAAGAGATTAAATAATTATTTTCCATATATAATTGCGATTATATAATGACGCTTTACGTTTATCGAGGCAAAATTTTTAGAATAATACTCGAATATGAGTACGAATCGATATATCTTCATGAGCGAATCAATTCCCAATACAAATTCAAAAAATTCGAATACGAACAAACCACGTATTATATGCACCAATTTATTTAATCTAATAAATATATTTTTGCAGATTTTAACATATTTTAAACCTTACATGAATAGTTTGGAAAGTGAGCTTGCGGAAAACGACAGCAACCGAACTTTAACGAATCTGATGCTTATACCAGCATATTTAACGATACTCTCTACCATTGATAGCAATGAATTTATCAATGTTCTTAAGCACTATCTTATTGCATTATCGTTGCGCGATGAAGATTTAAGTGGCCTTCAAATAGCGGTTGTGAAGTATTGTGCTCAAGATCAATTACAAGAGCATGTACTTTCAGGGTTGTGGGATGGTAATTATATTTTTGTCAAAATAACGAGTATTTTTTTGTTATTCGCGTCGCATGTATGTTAATGAAATTAATTGTACGAATTAGTTTATTTGCCGATAATTTATAAGATTTATAAGTTTTGTCGACTCGTATAGCTAATGGTAAATGTCCGTAAGCGAGCAATTTCAAGAATTCTAAATTAGTTAGTTTTATTCGTTCTAAGCTTTTGTTTTGAATAAATATTAACTACAATTTAAAAAAAGAAAAAAAAGAAGAAGAAAAAAAACTCTTATCACTTTTTTTCAGGCGTTGTTCATCAAAAATCAAGTGTCAAATGCGCAACCGCGTCCTTATTTAACTCAATAGTTTCCAAGGTTTCGAATAAATTAGTTGACGTGCGAATAGCTCCAGCAATTGTTACACTCGCCAATGATCCAGATATGTAAGATTTTTCGCACAGTTTTATCGTATTCTTTCTTTGTACAATGAGCCTAACATGACTTTCATTCAATTCTACTTAGTGAATGATAATATTAAAGATATTAAATAATACCGTATAATGTAATATGCCAAGTGCTTTACATTGTACTTACCAAGTACTTTAAATTGAGTAATGAAATAATTTCCCCGTCTCCTACAATTCGCACGAAATGTTCAAAATACATATTTGTGACTTGTCGTTACAGAGTCGTAAAATCCATCGCGGTTCAAGTACTGGGTAAGCTAGTGACGGAAAGCGATGCGAGGGAAGCAAAGGATAAGGCACGCCTAACGTTAGAGACGATCGTTCGAGATCCTCAAGGAGTTTCGCCCGATCTGGCTGTGCCGTTGATCCTAACTTTAGCCGCCGTAGCTCCTTATTGTCCTCAGAATTACGTTGAAGACGGTACGAATCATTTGTATTAAATTAAATTGAATTAACCATCATTTTTACCCTTTGATGTCGGAAGATAAAGTCTTTGTATATCCAATTTAACTATAATACAATGTGATGTAATTAAAAGTCCCTAGACATATAGATATTTTAATATCGTTAGTGCGTTTAGCATTAAACTATTATGCGCGGATAATTTTCATCATTGTCAACTTTGCTCTCTCATACTGCAGTGATAGCTACTCATCTAGCTGGAATAGCAGCGTCCGCACTTCAACAGAGCCGGAGAGTCGACCTAGTTAACGCCTTAGTTGAAGCTTATTCGGTTTTAGTTTACTGCACCTTGAGCAATCAATGCATCGCGGGAACAGTTTTGCCAGGTCTGAAGTACCTCGATTCTCTCGTGAATCAAGTAACGCCTCAGCATAAGGAAGTTATGCGATCTCTCCTGCGCGAAATCGAGTCGAAGAAAGACGTGCCGAAACAGATGGACAGGTAAGATAACTATTAGGTCAAACGATCACGTACATAAATCGATCCTTTTCCCTCTAATATATGAAAGTTGTCGTAGGTCGGCGTCGATGGGCAGCGGTCTTTCTTTATCGGTAGCTTCGGTGAACGTCGGCCAGGGCGTCGAGGATATGCGCCAACGAGTCAGTAAGATATTCCTCCAGAAGACAAGCTCGCCGAGCATGTCGAGCATTTTTCGAAAGAAGTGAGAGACAGTGCGTTAATTACGTTAAGTAATTGATTGGTAGAACACAAGTGACGCTTGGCTCACGATTACGAAACCTGAAAATTATCAAGCTTCCCCCACTTTGTATTATACTACATACATAATCCGAAAAATAGCATAATTTTTTTATTGTTATATTTGCTTAGGGATACACTAATAGAGATAAATAGACGCCTACGGCAGTTTTAGTATTGAATTTTAGAATCGTACATTTAAAATGGAATGAGGTTGTTATTGGACTGATAGGAGTCAATTTATTGTTTCGGTAGATTGAAAGTCGCATAATGATAAAATAAAGCATTAACAAATCTAACAAAGAAAAGTCATAATAAATTATGAATTAGCGTGAGCGATGTTTATCGTTTATCGAGGGTAAAACGATTTTTGTGCCTGAATATGTTATTTTAGATGTTTAAATAGTTAATTCGTAAACAGTATAAAGAAAAGAAATGAAAAAGAAAAAATCGAGACAATTTATGTGTGAATTTTAATAATTCACTAAATTTATTTATTATTAATATTTTTACGAATCTCTCTATATCTAAGTATATGGTTTGATTAATGATATCAAGAATAATATAAATAAATTCTTTCATTTTGTAATACTAGATATATTGTTTTAACGGCTTATTTTGTTTCAAAACGATAAACGACTTGATTATTTATTTCGTTTCAAATAAAATAAATTATCAATGATTTGTTAAATTAAGCGATCATTTAAAAGAATTTCTTATTTTGGTATCTTTTTCATCGATTTACAAAACTAGTTTTTGTTGTTTTTTTTTATATGCATAATTAGTAGATGATTAATATAAGTAAGACACGGAACACTTTTTTTTTTTTTTTTTTTCTTTTTTAGATAGAACAATAATGATATCTTTGATCGGTGTTCATTTTAGTTGTGATTTTAAAGAATTGTATGAAGTTTGTATAAAAGTTTAATCTTCAATGTTTAAATGCATAGCGTTAGATTGAATAAAAATAGGGAAAAAAAATTTCGTTGTTGAAAAATTATAGATTTTTCATTGAAAGAGTCTACAAAAGTTGAAAGACGTATGCTTTATGATGTACTTAATATACATGTATATATATACAAATAAAAACAAGATAGAAATTTACAAAGCTAACGCTTTTTACAAATAATATTGGTAGACTGGATTTATGAAATTTATATATTTATTATTATGCAATGTGTATCGCTTTATCTGCGATTTGTCCAATTTTCATGTACTGTGAGGATGATGGTATTAGAGAAGAATAAGTGATTCACAAGACACATTACCAGCAAATAATAAATGAGATTTAACAAGAAATTTGCTTAATTTTAATGATAAAACATATCAATAAATGTTAATAATAAATCAATGGATTATTAAGAGTCTGAGAAGTGACGGCACTCAAAACTCATTTTACAAATGATTAAGGAGAAGAAAAAAAACAAGAGAAGAAAAAAAAACAAACAAAAAAAAAAAACAAAAAATAAAACAAAAATCGTAGATCTGTTCTTTTTCTCTCGCACTGTTATCGGTTCTTGGATTGTCCTTGACACCAAGACGGCATTAAATCCTTGATGAAGCGTCAATGATAATATTGCAGCAACGTTTTAAAAGTTTTAAATTTAACGTAGTCTTAAGGAAGCGTTCCCGTATCGTCGTATAAGATCAAGTTCATGAAATTAAGAGTAAATATTGTGCGCGCGCGTGTGTGTGCACATACACAATATGTATGCCTGTATATTTTTTATCAAAGATATTTCGTAAAATTATAAATATTTTTTTATAGCTAGACCACTTACTGACCTAATGTAAAATATCTTATTGACAGCACACCCTTTTACGTCTATATATTTTTGCAAAATACATATTTAATTATTCTAATTATTAATACGCGGAAATCACCACATAATTGCAATAGAATCAAAGTTACTCCTCTTATTTAAGAGAATTTAGTGTAAATATATGTTCGTTTAAAGCTATAAGAATTGTTACACTATGTAATTAAGAGAATTCTACTTTAATGCATAAATAATAATTAAAAATATGAATTGTACTTTTACTAATTTTTAAAAATAATTATTAAAAATTTCAACAGGGTTGATATATCTTAATATTCGACTGTTTATATTTATTTATGGAAACATATTAAAGTTATCTGTAAAAATGCACATGATCTAATTAATTATTTTTTTCAATAAAAAAATATTGTTAACTATAAGTATTATTATTATTAACAATATCACCTCACATAATCTTTCGTTTCCCATACACTGGCAATTTAAATAAAAATTATCAGATATATTCATTTATGATGAAGTATAATAGAATGAAGTATAATAGCTGGAAACCCACATTAATATATGAAAAATTGAATTACTATTATTATTTTTAGATAAAGGGATTAAAACTAAAAAAAGCAAATCATATCATTCATATTTTAGATAAAATAAAAATAACATCTTTCAATTTTACTGTGCGCTAAAATGTGCCAAATGTATATTACAAGTAATAAGAGAGAGAGAGAGAGAGAGAGAGAGGATACGAATCTAGCATATATACACATGATTTTATCTCAGCTTACAATATAAATAATAAATTAAATTTTAATAGCAGTTATATACACGATTTTCTCTTTAATTATTATGTTATTACTTAATTTATGTGTTGATTTAAGAAAGGTCGTACAAGTATACACAGTAAAATGTTAAATAACTGTACAGACAGAATTGCATAATTAATATATTAAATAAGACGAACATTAATTACGGAGTAAATGATATAATCACGTTTATATAGTTATCCGATTTTTTATTATAATAGATTGAATGGCGATTTGTATAATCAAATATATAAAAGAATATTTAAATCTGTAAGAAATTATGATGAAAATTCGCGCGCGTGTGAGGACAGATTTCTTATTTAATTTGACAAATACAATTTTTCTTGAGTTTTACAGACTCCTGGCTTTTATAGCTAATAACACCGAACCTTGCGATCACCTTTTATCGACGCTAATGCTACTGTCATGCAACACAATGTAGTCAAGGATAATTGTATGGAGCATGACAGGATGTGGACATTACAGTGCTCACAATTTAATGATCGATCGACATCTAAGAAAAAGTATTTTCGTCAAAAATAAACCTAACGAATTTGTCATTTCCCATATGTCGTATTTGTCGAATTATTATAAAAAGAAAAAAAAAATTGACCTCATAATATTTAAAGTATCAATGAATATTGATTGAATTAATAATAAAAATCATTCATACATATCGTTATTAACAGACGTAATACTTTTACAGGACGTAGAATGGAAAACAAAATATCCTTTCTAAACATTTTATTTTCTTACTCCCATACTCTCGCCATTTATCATTTAAATTTTAAACGAATTTACTGTTATTGAATGGTATTCTCAACAACTGTTTAGCCTATTATTATGGAATATGGAAGATTTATATATATTTGTGATTGAAATATTAACTAATAAAATATAATTCTTATATAATTTGTATTACAAAATTGTTATATTATTATTATTATTATTATTATTAAGTTATCACTATTTTATAATAGACTCAGTCACAAGTTAAAGCAATGCCATTTTTCAAGGCCTTATTTGATATTTTCATAAGAAAAGATATTTTTTATTAATATAAATATCATAAAATAAGACACGAACATTAAAATTGATATCACGAATATTTTTTAACTATAAATTTGCAATTTGAAGAACTAAAATGTAGAATATATTTTGCTAATTTTAATTTATATTAATACTTCAATTCATACTATATTAGTAATAATGATAAATCCTAATTTAACAATCAATATTATTTAACTCATATTGTTTAATAGACAAATGTATCCGACTAATGTTAGGAACAACCTTGGTTAATCAACATAATATTTTATTATAAATAAAATGTATAAAATAAAGAAAACTTTTTTCAATATAACAAATGTTTCTATAATGAAATATACATTTTCAATGATTAGAAGCTAATATACATTATACTACATTATGAAAACTTTTAACAGATAATTTCACACAAAATTCTCATATCCTGTTATCATTAACTTATCATATTGTATTCTATCGATAAACTTATGTTGTAATTTTTATAATTATAATATGCGATTCATTTTAATTTTAATTGCAACGAATATTTTATTTTTTAATATAAATTAATATAAATTACAAATTTCAAGCACTTGCATCTTATGGTAAATAAAATATATTGGAAAATTTAAACATTACTGCGTAGAGTATCGTATTAATTATTTTAGACAATACTATGTAGTCTTTTAATAAATATTATTGTCAAATTTTGAGATTATAATAAATCAATTTTTAAATATAATTTATAATTCACTATAGTTCAACATCGACTAATTGTCAATAGGCCAATATGTTTACTAACAATAATCACAATTACATATAAATCTCGGCATTGAATATGTTGTGACCGAGTCTTTACAAAAACTTAACAGTGCTTTTTTAGTGACAAGTTTTATCGCGTTGAAAATTCTTCAACTTAGATTTAATTTTCAAAAAATTAATAATATACTAATTTTACAGAATCATTTCAAATTGTATTGAAAGGCAAACATTTTAATACCTTTTTCTTATTTCAAATGGAAAGAAACATTAAATGCGTAATGTAAATTTGATTTATTTTTTTTCTTCTTTGTTTTTTCTTATGTTTTAGTACGAAATATTGCTTTTACGTACAAAATCTACTACAAATATGAAAATGTATAAAAATTAGTATATTATTAATTGAAATATTTGAAGTTACGCGAACTGAACATTGTCGTGTTATAAATAGTGATAAATCTTATTTTTGCTTGTAAGCAATTATACTAATTTTATGAGAGTTTAATAAATTTTGTTTTATTTTCTGGACTACAATTTCAGTTCCGTAATATATTTTTCGTTTCATATATTTTTACTTTTAATATTGCCAGCCGTAACATCTTCGAGCTATAAATAAATATTTTTTATGTAAAAGTGCGTGATACTAATCTAACGTTTTTGTTTGCATAATGTTAGGAAAAAAATTAAAAGGACTTTTAATACATATGCGCGCGCGCGCGCACACACACACGCGCAGAGCTTCTTATTTCTAACCTATACATTCTGACTTTAATAAATTGATTAATAATGACTATTATATAAAATTATTATAGAGGATAAAAGCATACTCTAATAGTATAATAATAATTTCAATTACAAACTAAACAATTGAATATCATTTATTTACATAAAAGGGCAACTATTTTATTAATTATTTCAAGTAGCACAATTGTTTAGTTTGTTTTATAATTCATATTTCTTTAACGTTTTTAAAAACGTTAACTATAATTTCACAATAATAATATTACCCAAAATAATATATTATATTTCTCTATATAAATAAACAATGTAATGAGAATGTTTTGTTTATTCAAAATTTTCATCAATCTCTTTTATTTAAAATTTTTTTTTATTAACTATATAACTGTGGATGATAAATTTCATGAGTACAATAAGAAAATATTACAATATTAAAATATCTTCATTTAATAATGATTTACCATAAACATCAAAATGAATAAATTGTTGGAAAATTGGAAAATGTGATTGTAATCAGTAATTTTGCGTTACATGAAAATGAATTATACAAAAATAATTGCCAGTTATGTGAACGATTTACGATTTTCTATTTCGAAAGAAAATATTACATATACATTTTGCCTTGCATTCAATATCCATGCATGTGCTATGTTCTTGGACGGTAGATAGTATTGAACTCATATAGAAAAATGTTATAACAATATGCGTATTATAATAACAATATTCCTATGCACGATTGGTCAGATTACGTATAGAAACAAGTCAAGTTAATTAAAGTTAAATTTTCACATTAGTTATCGAAGTACTTTACATTACATATTGGTATTCATTTAAATTATATAAATTTTATGTGTATTACTTTTAGTATATATATATATATATATATATATATAAATAAAATAATGGTAATAATGGCATTAGTAGGGTAAGTGATACCACTATTACACGTAATTGTAATTAATATGTTAAAATATGAAATTCTAAGTACAGTTATGTACTGAAAATCGAATGAATATTCAGTTATATACAAAATATTAATGAAGTGCTGCGCTATCGTTTCGATATTAAAAAAATTGTAAATCGTCAAATTTTTGAAAATTGAAAATTCTCGTCTTTACTATTCAACTTTAAAATTCACCTCTAATAGTTAAATTATACTATAATATACGCCATTGTCATTACTATTTACATGACTGTGAAAAGAAGCTTCGCTTGGAAATTACTACTATTTATATCCGAACGAACAGTCTGCTCATCATATCCTAATCATTTTCATATTTCAATGAATCATTGCCAATTGATTGTCACTTAACAAAAAGATCATTTATCGCCGACATTATAATAAATGAAGAGTTTCTTTTAATGTCGTTGACATTTATTCATTTATCGAAATGTTGGAAAAATATGAAATATTTTATAGACATAATATTGTAAGGCCGTTTTACATAATTATCGTTTGAATATCAATTTAAAGTATAATAAATGAATTGCATTTTTCATACGTGAATGTTTAATTAATCGAGACTTTTGAAATATTTTCCAACATAACGTCTTGTCTTGCGTTCTCTATACTTTCAAATAAATACTACAATTATGTCGTTAGGAAAATATTTTTCGGTAAAACAAGTTCGTTCGTAAGAATAAAATATTTAGATAAAAAGTACTGGTACTACAATATATATTTGAGCGAGCGTTGTCCACTTGAATGTCTTACTCTATCTTGAAATATTTTTATTCATTAGGACATTTGTGTTTAGATTTTCCTACTTGGTCAGCTTCCACACTAGCAGCATCATTGAAATATTAAAATGCAAAAAATTTTATTTCACGAATCGAATGTATTTTACGTGCCTGAAAATAAATAATTTAACAAACGAAAAGAGCCGGCCGTATACATTAAAATGTCACATTCGTTAAAAAAAATAATCATCTTGCGATTACAAGGACAAAATGTAGAGCCGAATGAGAAAGGCGCCACAGTCAAAGAAATGGGATTTGTTGGCTGATTGACTGATTGCATTCTCGATATCTTCCATTCCTCATGTTAATTCAATTGCTATATATAAACATAATATCTCTGTATTAGTTCGAAAGTGGCTGGCACTTTCTTGACACATTTATAATGTTCATTAGTCTCGCGAGCATCGTTAAGTTATCAGTAGCAGTAGCAGCGCCAGCAGCACATTAAAATTGTTGCAGCACCAAGTTTTATTACACGAGCTGAATGAAGCCGGAGGAGACCTCGTGGACGAGTGGCTTCGTGTGTGAGTCGCGATGTCGGCGATGCTCTCTCGAGCAAACTGGAGGACGTTGTGATTTTGGGAGCATGACTCAAATGGACTTTTTTCTCTTCGCGTCGGAGGTCTTGTTGAAGAGGTGCTGGAATTCAGGGCGTGTGCTCAGCACCGTCAGCACCATTTCTGCCGAATTCGAAAAGTTGCGAGGTTACGTTGGATACAATTATTTTTTTCCTCGCCTTTTTTAACACATGATTGCTGATTAGTAAACGTTAGTTATTTTTTTAATTGAGCTCGAGGTGTTCGGGCATTTTTGCAAGACAATTGGTTTTCCATTGTCGATAGTCGAATGATTGATTTGAATTTTTTGGATACCGTTCGCGTAAGTGACAAAGACGATTAAAAAAAAGAAAAAGAAAGAAAAAAAAAAGAAAAAAAGATAAATAAAATAAATAAATAAATAAATGAAATGAAAATAAGAACCCAACACGACTCGTACCTTGATTTACAGTATTACAATTGTGTTCTTTTTGAATCTGATAATATATTTTGTCGCATTCCTCCTCATTCAGGCTCAATGAGAGGTGCAATGCTTTTCGCAATTCCAACGAATTTAAATGACAGCTTGGATCTGGACTGCAAACCTAAAAAAATTTCATATAAAATATTAAAATCAATGCGTTATTTAAGATAGAGCGCGAGTATTCAATTAACGTACTCCGAAGGCAATTTCGACCATATCGAGTGCATTGTTGGCATTCGCTATTGCCATTACGGTGAAAACGTAATCCTCAAAATCGATTATTCCTCGATTATGCTGTAGGGGGTAAAAACAATACGGGTGAGTGAACGATCGTGCGCCAATTTATTATTTAGAGCAGAATGGAATATAAGTAATGTAGCTTCGTATTTATATAGTCACCTTATCGTTAATTTTAAATAAATGTTGAGCTGCTAAATTATTTTCGTCGAGTCTTAACAGGTGAGCGAATTTCGGAAAGTCAACCATTTCCGGAAACCTTTCGCACTTTGTCTGTACCAAATCTTCTTCGGTCTTCTCTTTAACTAGTCTATAGGAGAAAATTTTAATCTTAATCGTTATTATTTATCATAAAACCTTCACCTTAAAACGATAGTCAAATAATAATAATAATAATAATAATAATAATAATAATAATAATAATTTTAAATTGATAAAAATCAATTTTACTATTTGCTGTTGTATTAAAAGTTCTTTCGTCGACGATTAAAGTCTTTTCGACGCAATGTCTTACCCAAGTTTGAAGCGAAGTTTATGCGCCTCAACTATGCCAGAGGCATTTGGTATATGCAGTTGATGTGCTTTGCTGATTATTCGACAATCGTCGTACGTGTAATCCGACACGGGAATTTTTAATGCCCTAAAGTAAAAATTCGTTACATTAGAGATAATAGAAACAAAATAATAATAATAATAATAGTAATATAAAAAAAGAAGAAGAAGATGAAGAAAATAAACAGAAATAAACACTATTCATGAATAGTAAATCTTATTAATGACATGTTTCATAATAATATCGTTATGGCTAAATTTCTTCTAAAAGTATATATATATATATATATATATATATATATATATATATATTGAATAGTATGACAGAAGCTTGATTATAAGTGCTCAAGCTTTTATATTTATTTATCTGTAAAGAACATAGTTCTTCGTATAGCGATAAAATGTATCCTTTGTTATTATTAATGATTTAAATAATTATTTAAGATGTAAGAAAATCATTGGATCATTTATCACTGGCTGCTGAATCGCAAAATTATAATGACTTAAATAATCGTTATCCCTTCTATCTCCAGTCATTGAATTATACCAACAGGAAGATAAAACTTATTTAATCACTATAGATCGAATTTTATTCAATTGTAAATAATTGTTAAATGTTTTTTACTCACTCAGCCATGAGACGTCGAACATTATTAGCATAAAGTTTGGGATCCAGTTTTTCGGCTTCGTTTGGCTTGTAAACCGGAAGAAATTCAATTTCGCAGCTACTATTTAATTGCGTCAGAGTCAACCATAGAAGTTTCAATCTATCATCAAGATAAATATTAAATATATAAGTTATAAGCCTAAGAGTATTATTACCTGACTAATGCCGACAGAATCAATTATTTTATCGAGAAGGGGATGGTAATTTGTTATAAAAGTAATACGTTAAAATGCCTCTACAATACTTTCAACTGATAAACATTATTTGCTCCTTACATCGTGACATTTATAAATGTATATAAAGTGTATGAAAATATAAAAATAAAATGAGAATGATCTTTGTTCTTTTATCATTTGGCTGTCTAATTTCAATGGCTTCATAATTAATCAAACTCAGCATGCAATGAAACGCATGAAAGTTTAAGTTAATAATTATCACGATTTGGGTGGGATGGGTAGAAGAAGGGATAAAAGAATATACTCACGCGCCAGGTCCTTCCCAGGTCCAGGTGACGGTATCCAGTTTGTTGGGGTACCTGATGCAGACCGGCTGCACCGGAACACCCGGATAAAAAGCACCGGATTTGAATGTGATGAGACAGGAGCGATTGGTACATGTCCCTTCCGGGAATATCATTACCTATAAATTTACGATTCATTGGTTAGTGCGTCGATGGATGACGAAATACAACGTTTGAGATTATTTGCTGTAACGCGCAAAGTAAAAGCAGCGGATGATTTTTCATAAGGACGCCATAATCGACGCTCGTTTTTAATTATCATTTAAAATTAAGGAGCATCGACTTGTGACATCAGACAAGAATCATTGACTTAAGAAGGAACGACATTCTTTGCGCAAATTGAGAATATATATATATATATATATATATATTGTTCCGACTTAATACGCTCTTAACTCAACGTTTACTATTATTCACTGAAATTAGCATAAACGCAAAACAATCAACCACTCATCTTATCTTCGAAGGATTTTATAACAAGACTCGGAAAAAGCGTGAAAAAAGCAAAAATCTTCATTAAAAAACTGTTCTAAACAAAGTACCTGAGGCCAATCTTCCTTAGATGTGGCACGTTCAATAATTTCCTTAACGGTATTCTGCCGAGAATTTGGATCGTCTCTCCATACGTAAACTGGTTGCGTATAGTTTATTAGTTCTGAAATTATTTTTAAAAAGTTTTATAAAATTTTATTCGTTACATTTTACAATGCAAGTTAACTGTTATCAATTGTATCAAGACTGTCGTTTGATGTAATAACAAATTTTTACATCACTGAATTAGAATTGACTAGATGTCTTTATAATTTAATTTGCAGAAAGAAATTTTTTTCAACGTCTACATTATAGTGAATGGAATAATATATATATATATATATATATATATATATATATATTGCACGAAGCATAATTTATAATAAAATTGTTGAAAAAGACATTAAGCTAACAATTATACAAATGCACTTAACGTAGATAAAACTTTGCTATTATATGCTTAATGTCATAATAATTTTATATATTTATTATTTTTTATTATTTTTCAATGTAATTGACGAAAGATACAATTATATAAATAAAAAATGATGATACATAATTATATTATTAAAATTTTTTATAGAATTATTATCTATTCGATATTTCAAGAGCTTAATTCAATTTAATTAAAGCGAATTTAAACTATCAATATGTTAAAATTTGATAAGAATTTTATACTTGATTATTAATCAGTTAATTCCAGTATATCTAGCAAATAATGAATTATTTTTCCTCCTTCTCTGTTATACTAATTATTCTTCACACAGTTATTCTCATACGGATTAATTTATTTTATTTTCAATGTAGGAAGCGTCATTTCGGAAAGCACCAAATTATGCCGCAAAAAGTTTTTGATAATATTATTTCGTTAACTTTCAATCAAAGTAATACTACTTGCCATTACGTTAATAGTTTATTAATATTTCCTTCAATTTACGTTAAGTAAAAAGTAATTCCAAAGCATTATTTACCTAACTTCTTATTTTATTTTATCGACATTGTTCATTATTGAATCAAATTATTTGTATTCGTCTATTTTATCAAGTGTTCTAAGTTATAATGTTTCAAATTCATTTCATTAGCATTAAATTATGTTCAATTGATTTTCAAATTACTTATTTTTCTACTCTTAATAAATTTGTATATTCCGTATTGCTAATTCAAATTTTCATTCGGCCACCAAATTACATTAAATAAAATCTACATTTTATCTACGTATAAGCAGGTTTTCGAGTTTTATCATTCAATTTATTTTTCCTTTTATATTTGTATATTTTGTTTTGTTTTTCATCTTTTACTCTTTATTCGTAGTTTACATTAAAATATAGAGAAAAACATAAATACGTCAAAGGCGTTAAATTATACTTCAAATATTTTGGTATTTCCTTAACTAGACTCTTTAAAATTTCCAGTCGAATATGAAAAATACGATATATTTTACTTTTATAAATAAAATTTGAATGTTTTTTTGCGTATATACAAGTATTAATACACTCTTCAAAATCGCTTTATAATAGTTGAAGTAAATAAATTAATATTGATTTGTTTGTTAATTTTTTATTGCACTGGTATTGAGTCTTGTTGTTGTTTTTTTTTTTTTAATTATTAGTTTTCATATTTTTACATAAATTGGAAGTTCATATTGAGTGGAAAAATAGAACTGCTTAATGCATGGAAAGTTTAGTTTGAAAGTTCTATATAACAATAGCAATCGATATTATTTCTTATTTTTTAATTCTAGAATAATAAGCTTTATTCTTCGGTCCTCGTGTATATATATATATATATATATATATATATATATGTATAAAAATAAGTATACGAATTTTCTAAGCTAATATTACACGTTTGTACTTGAAAAAGCCATTGACAACTTTAAAAAGTCATACATTTTTATATTTACAAACTATGCAATTTTATAATTTATGTAAATTTGCTGTAAAGTTAATGATATAATTATCTTAAAGCCCATATTTACTTCATATTTAAAAAGTAGATTTTTCAATCCCCGCAATATCTTGAAATAGTAAATAATATCTTTTTCAAGAAATTATAATTAGCTTACATTATTACACCGATAAAATAATATTACTTACTGTAAAAAGTTCTCATAGTGCTTTAATGTTTTTGCATCTCAATGTTTCAGAATTAAAAATATAAATCTATGTTAGCTCGTGTGCGTGTGTGTGTGCGCGCGCGCGCTCGCGCTTGCTTGCGTGTGCGTGTTTATGATTTTATTAAAAATGTTGATCTTTGACATTTGGTCCGATCGATATGATTATATTGAGAAAAATGTCAGTTCACATTTAAATGATTAGAAATAGCTTCGATTACTTATCCAACACTTTTGCCTAGGAATATTTATCAGAATGGCATCGATATGATCGAATAGCTAACTAATGTTTCATTAACTCCTTAGAGCGAATCTGATTGTATGGGCAGTCGCAGGTTGTACGATCGATAAAAAATAACGTCAATGGTCCTTTCGGTTCATCGACCGAACGTCAATCCCAGCCTCTGCTGGGCTATAACGTACTTCCAATGTATGGATCGAGGCCCGACTCTCTTCTCACGATGATGGACGGGAAGCCCGTGACATAAACAATACCGCCGTCAATGAAGGACGAGTGGGGCGCTACCACGAGGATAGGCGCTTCTTGGCGGCTCGCCTGCTTCCCTCGCACCACAATTTTCATCCCTCCGGCTTGATAGGTCCAACGGCCAACGACACAGAGCCACGGCACCACTTGGCTGCGGTTCCATCGTCAATAGAAATGAAACATTGCTTTTTCTCTGTTGCTCACACGGTCTCTCTCTCTCTCTCTCTCTCTCTCTCTCTGTCACACACACACACACACACACACACGCACACACATACACACGCATTCTCTCTCTCTCTCTCTCTCTCTCTCTCTCTATCTCTCTCCATCTCTCTCTATCTCTCTATCTCTCACTCATTCTCTCTAAAATATCGAGGCCACCTACCTTGCCGACACGGTGCTCTTACATCGAGCGTATTTCCCGATTAAACTTCGAAAGATTGAGTCTACCGTTCAGCTGCCATTCTTTGGCCGACTATTTCCAATCGCTTCTTCTTACACTTTGTTAGCAATATTAGCCTTTAGTTGGTAAAAAAAATCTTGTAGACAAATAATCTCTTTAAAAAATTGTCATCCTACAGCGAACGTATTAATTTGTTTACACGCACGAGTGTATGCGCACCACACAAGTGTGTACAAACAAACATTCATATAGATTTTACAACTATTAAATAATATATTAACATTGTTTTATTTCACCGGGTCGGTAAAGTAGACTTGTCGATTATTTACTTAATAACTAATTTAACGAGACTGAGAAAAAATATTTGAAGCATATTCTTACATCGAATGAATCTTATTCCCTTATAGCCATATTTATTAATTTTACCACTCGATGCAACTATGATTTACTTTCTGGACTAGAACTATTATTGCTCAACATACCCAACAAATATAAGATACGCATTTATCAGGTAAGAGTATTTTTAATAATATTTTTTCTTAGTTCAAGTAAGAAGACAAATTATAAGTATGCAGAAGTCGATTTCATTGCCCACGTGGTGTTACCAAATTAGTATATATATATATATATGTGTGTGTGTGTGTGTGTGTGTGTGTGTGTGTGTGTGTGTCCGTGTCCCAAATTTATTTACATTATATTGCTTAGTATTTTTGAGAGCTTGATTACAGTAAATAAATAAAAGAGAAAGCTTTAGATTTCCACTTAAATAAAGCATACAAAGGTTAATTTGTTAATATTAATACTATTATATTAATATTTTATATTAATGCTATTATATTAATATTTTATATTAATGCTATTAATACGTATGTCGTGTGAGTCATTGCATTAATTATACGATTTATTATCCCATTCACCACATATGTACACATATGAAGAAAAAAAAAATCATATATATTTCTTTATAATTCTATCTTTGCTGCAATAATGCAATGTATTGGCCGAAATTATAATACGGCTTCACCTAGACTGAAATAAAGATAATTGCATTAGTCACAATTGCGCGTGTATTCTAATATAAAAAAATAATACGCGCATTGTAATATCATTTCTTAGTTAATACGATCATTATATTATACTTTAGTTGCCCAATCGAATTCAATCGAATTATAATAGACGCTGGGCATTCAAATATATAAATATATAAATATATAAATTACGCTATTTCGAGAGAATAGACAGAAAGAATTTCATTTCATACATTGAGCTATAAAAACTAATCGATAGAATGTCATTTGTCGTGCAAATCATGAAATAATGAAATTTATATACCGATTCATTTACGTATAAAGTTTAATAAACGTAATTACATGCCAAACGGTACTTTATAATGTAAGTAATGTTTTTTTTTTAATGTACTCGAGCTCGTCCAGGATTTAGGCGAAAGTTTGAAACGATGCCGGTTTGTATTTGTCTTACGACTCATTAGGTTCGGAAAATTGCATAATATGAAATTCTCTCAGCTAAGTGTCGAGCGAAAATAGCTCGACCGGCGAGGGGGTGAGGGTGAGAGGATAGAAAGACGTACTCCCAAAGAAGGGAAGTCGGCCGGTCTCGGCCTTGGCGACGATGCTCGGGCCGCCGAGGTGTACAACCGGGAGAGCGTCGAAGAAGCTGGAGTGAGGCGCGAGGGCGAGTATCGGGGCCTCCTTCGTGTCGGCCTGCTGGCCCTTGACCTTTACGAGGTGGAAGCCACTGCATACGAAGAACATCCTCATCATCCAGCAGACCACCGCGCGTAATTCTCTGTTTCACGGTTATTCATTACACTTTCTTTTACTCATCCTCCTTTAATCTTTACTTTCTATCTGTTCTATCTTTTATGCATGCAACAATACTTTCAATTTCATGCAGAGAGCCGAATTATTCAATTCCATTGGTATTTAGGGGTACGGAAAATTTTGTGGATGACAATGGGGCACTGTTTTACCGACAGTGCCGTGATTTCATTTCAAGCTTTGCGAAAGTTCTAATGCATAAAACCATCATGTGTTATTGGCGCTAGAAAGTAACGACACATTGTAATACGATGAATACAAATTATAATTTCTCGCAAATAGAGTGAATTTATTTAGTCGGTAAAATAGAGCCTTTGCAAGAAATGTAATGATAGAAGCACTCGAGAATGCATGAATTTCTAATCGAACTTGCATTTTGTGACACGTCAATAAGCCATATAATCATTACCATTATTCAGAATTCAAAGAAAATCTATAATTTGGTATTGCAATATGATTAAAAAGGCGACAAATGTTATTTTTATTTTAATTACCTGATTAATAATGTTCAGTTAGATGAACTTCAAATTTAGAATAATTTACGAACGTTAAATTATTTCCGATGATTACATATCATTATCCACAATCCATCGATAAAAATTAATATTTCAAGAAAAAAGTATCGTATAATATTTGATGTATATAGGATCAATGATTGTGGACTAATTATCATATTTACGTATTAAGTTATTTACGAACGAAACTGTATCTTTTTTTTTACATATACAATAACAATAAAAAAAATCTTTTTTTTTTTTTTTTTTTTTTTTTTTTTTTTTTATAGAGTTTTATATACTAAAACTATGGTCAATTAATCTAATCGCTTATACTTAAAAGTTCTTCAACTAAAAGAAGAATGAAAATTTATTCAATGAACGATGAGTGTTAATTTTTAAAATTCATATAGAAATTATACGATATTTAAAAGGGATAAATATTTAATTGTTATTACGGTCGGCAATACGGTCCAATGCTTTTCAATTGAATTATTTGAAAAAAAACTATTTGTACTTCGCAATACTCAAATATTTCGACTAGTCATTGAAATTTCACGATTGAGAATTTATTCAAAATTTATTCAAAATTCTGTAATGCCTGCGTCACACAAACTTACCGTAGCTTAATATGCAAGTTCATATTATCTAATCTACATTTGAACATACAGCTTATATACTTTAATACGACATAAAATCTATAAAATCTATATTATATTATTATAAGCAATGTCATTAATATTAAAAATAAAAAGCGAAATTCTTGGGTTTCTTAATTAGAAGTAAGGTCGCGCGTGTAAAGAAGTGCATAGTTTTGTATTCTAATGTTTGTAATATTCAAAGGTACTTAAATTTTGGCTAAGCTTAAAGTAATATACACGATGACATTGGCTACATTGATCCTTGATTTATTAATTCAAGAGTACAAGTTTAATTTTCTAAAAGTCTACAAGGTCTTGGATATCTTACCGTACGTAGTTGGAAGTAGTTTCTGCTCTTTGTAATTTATCAATATGTAAAGATTTACTAAGTTAAAACTATAAACTATAAACTATAATGACATTTTAATTCTACATAAAAAAAGCAATATTCTAAGCCAGTATCAGTAGATCTTTAATTTGTTTGTAGATTATAAATGTAGATTATAAATTGCCGAACCAATCGATTGTTCATTAAAATGTCAATATCACACAAAAGTTTGATGAATTAACTATTATTGTTTTAATTAATTGTCAATTTATTTACTGGCTAGTTAGGAAAATAAAGTATATATAAATGATTTAAGAGAAACTTGTTTTCGAAAAATATTTCCCGCTCGGATCATTCACAACTTTCATAATTATTATAGAGTTTCTACTTAACAGCTTTAATTTTAGCCTGCAAAAGTTACATGCGATATTAAAAAAAAAAAAAGCTAAAGATACGTTAGTTTTTGCAGGTGAAATGAGAAAAGTTATTGGAAATGATAAACTAAAGGAAATAGTGTCTAGAAAGCAAAGTATATAGGTAAGGCATTGTATTTTTAATATTTATAGATATGAGAATCGACTTCGAAGGAGTTGAAAATCGTGAAATTATAATTTTTAATTACCATAGTCAAGCATAACGTGAAAATTATTAGATTCGAAGAGAGTAATAATAGTATTATTATCTTGAAAATTGGCTTAAATAATAGCTGACTAATTAAACTAAGCAACAATATTATAGGAATGCGTTATAAAATCATATATTATACAGAAGAAAATATTTTCTTAATAATATGTTTGTTGTTATGTTCAGTAGTGAAATTTTACAAATTCCATAGGTTTTTTAAGAAAATGATTTTTTCAAGTCCAAAAGTACCACTAGTATTTACATGAAATTAAAATTATAATTTTAATTATAAAAAACAATAACAAAAAAAAAAAACAAAAAAAATTTTGCACAATATTTTCTTTTGCATAATACGTCGTTATGTATTGATTACAACATGTACGCAAACAAATATACATTTACACATATAAGTATATGATTAGAGTATCTTGGTTGAAGAAGCCATTTGGATACTTTTAAGTAAACAATTTTCTAATATCAACATAATTATATAATTAGTGTATATGAAATAATTAAGAATTATATTATTTTGTTATATTTAAATTTTGTAAGTGATTCTAGGTTTGTCATTATGAAATTAAAACCAAACTTTCTATATATTTCAATACGATATTAATTACGAATGTACGATGTGTAATTGAATTTTATAAACGAAAACTTTTGTTAAGGGGTGAGTGTGAAATCAGATAAAAATATGTGCACATCATTGGATAGATTTTTCCTTTATCAAATGACAATTATGTGTAAAGAGATGTAATAAATCACTTTGTTATTTTAATTTTTTGTTTTTAATATAAATTTTCGATTTAAAATTGACGTTAGCCGTTATGAAGATATAAAGGAACAAAAATTATTATATAATTATTATCTAATTTAATTAGATATGAGCATTTTTAATAGATTGACAATTATGCAAGATTATTATATATTAAAAATACATGGAATATTGAAGTGAAAACTGGGAATGGATAAAAGTAAATTCAAGAAATAAATAGTCGATATGCTTAAATTTACGACAATAAATGAAAATTATAGTTTATTTTATTATGAGCCATAATGAGATACCAGTTTACCAATCGTTCAAATATACTTTTTAGCTAAAATACTTTCCGCTTTATGACACACTTGGAATCACTTAGAGGATGCCCATCCCATCAAAGTACAAACAAGCTCAACCGCGAGAACACGCGACCGCGATAAACGCTTTCTTTCAGCTAAGATACTCCATTATCCGACCTCTAGGAAGTCTCGAGCAACGCAAGCAATAAGCAGCACTTAATTCCTACCGTCGCCATCCTTTAAGTGGCGCCCGTCGAAGATCCTCCTCGGACATCCCGTGGAGGCCGATACAGGCCATAAACCAAGCTAAAATTACCAGGACTGTGATGGCCATGAGTCGGATCGGCAACAAGGCTACTGTGAGAAAGACCGTCTGTAACAAAATTCAAAGAGTGGGGTGTTGATAATAGTCAAAGTTAAAAACAAATTGAAATTGTATATTCCTTGAATGTAGTATTATTGATAGCATGATGAGGCGATCGGCTCTGTAATTTTCACGAACGTTGCTCAATAAGTCCATCTATCAACGCACCGGCAACTCGATTATTTTCGATTTATAAGTTTTACCTATAAATTTAATACAAAGAAAATTTTCACGTCCAGAATGAGCAATTACGCTAGGCGTCTGATGCCTATGGCATTTAAGCCATTATTATTACGCGCGAATTTACGAGATCAATATCTTATACATTAAGTTTCACTATCAATCATAATAAGGCGACTTACCTGTACCGAATAACGCAACATTAAATTTCATTTTTCGTAATTGAAGAAATTTGTCGAGATCAGGTCAACACGATAAAACAAGAAGCAATGAAAAAAAAAAAAAAAAAATCAGATTTTTCAGTGCAGTGAAAACAGTAATTATTGTAGAAAAAAAAATCGAATTACTTTCTCCATGTATCAATATTGGATTATCTATACTTTTAGTATAGAATGTGACACGATCACATTTGAAATTATTTTCCTTTGTTCTCTTCATACAGAATCTATACATTTGCTCGATAAAAGCGCGCATTGAATATTGAACGATACTTTTACATATTAAATGCATAAAGTAAGATTCACTTTTTAAATATTTCATCATAGAAATTAAGTCGATCGTATTATCGTAAATAAAAAAAAAATAAAAATAAAAACAAAAACAAAAACAAAAACAAAAACAAAAACAACAAGAAAAACAATAAAAGAAAGTTTTACAACAAGCGCAATTAAATCTTTTCATCGATACTTTCCGTATCTACGTATTCAAGGAAATGTGAAAAATGATTGATTTTTAAAAATTTATTATTCCGTAATGAGATCGAACAATTCTTAATTAACGGTTTTCTATCTTTCTGAGAAATTATATATTTTTTATAGACTTTCTATGAAAGGAAAAGTTGTGTGTGGCTTAGGATTCCTTTTCCAAACGATTAATTGTAAAATATATGATTTTATAAACGACCACCATTATAAAAAATACCATGTAATTGAAAAACGTTATTTTAGTTTTTTTTTTTTTTTTTTAATATGTATTTTCAATAATAATAATAATAATAACAACAACAACAAACAACAACAAACAACAATAATAATAATCAAGGAAAAAAATTCAAAAACGATTTAGATAAACGAAACTTTTGTAATACATATATTTGAAAGTAATTTTTATTAAGAACACGCGATAAAAGATATTTTTGTTTTTAGAGTTTGATATTGAAAAAAATATTTCTTCAAATTGTTCACTTGCAATTAAAGTAATAAGTATACTCTTATTCGCGATGAAGAAATAAGTTTCTTAATAATCTTTTGCGTATGGCATCCAAAATATCAATAAATCAAATAGAATTTAGACTTTATGGATACTTTAAGCCGATTACACTCTTTTCCGTCAATTAGACAATATTTCTTAAATGAGTCGCTCTCTTATCAAAATCTGTTTTTTAAACCAATTCAATTAAATTGATTATTTGCTTATAATATTCATTAAAAGTCAATGGAATGTACCGAGAACAAAAAATTAGGTTCATGAAAACATTGAACTCGAAATACGAGGCAGACAGAGCATAAATCAGAAAAATGTAGGCGAAAAACCGGAGTTGATCAATGAATCAGGCCCATTTGCAAATATATATGGATTATCTTGTAAACCATTCATCAGCCAATGCAAGTATTGCAGTGTTGTTGTATCTTATTCAATGTGGTTTCAATGCATTGTTATTCCTATTTCGTTGTAAAACATTTTAGTCGCGTAAAAATTATTTAAAATTTTGTATTTCGTTCGCATTGTTTGAAGCTAACGACACAATTGATAATTTGCTTCTAAGAATTCTTATTTACTTCATATTTTATTATTAATTTAATGCCAATTAAATATATTACATATTCAACTAAAGTTTCTTAACGTTTTACACTATTATGCGAATAAGCATTAAAATTACTTAATTATTGAAAAAAGTTTCCTGTAGTGAAATAAAAATAACATTATGGATATTAATTTATGACGTATATTTAATTTTGTATTTTATCATAAACAAATAGATTGGAATTAAAATTCAAAATCTAAATTAAAGGATTTTTTTTTTTAGATTTTTAAATTGTTATAACTACAAAATTTATTGTTCATATTTATACTTATTTATTTGAATTATCAATTTTTTTTAAGCGTGTATTTTTCTGAGAGAGAAAAATCTAACTAACAGCAAAGAATTGGCAAATGTATAATATAGATAGTTAATATTATAATATATTTTTGCTTTATTCTAACAATGCGACATGAGTGAATAACGCAAAGCAATAACACTCTTCAAGTTTAAGTAATTAAGAGACTTTTTTTACTAATAACGAATTGACAATGCGAGATGCTACGTTTCAAATTGTAATTATATAATTTTCCGTATTTCACGACAATTACATAGAGATTATCCTTGTATTCCTTCAAATGCATACTTAAAATAAACATTTTTGTTAAATTATGTAGTGTCGTTTTAATTCCGGAAAAAAGAATAATATGACGATTAGCCTTGGTGTTTATTGTTAACTAATGCCATACATTAATACAAATAGCCAGAATTTTAAGAAACAAGCTGCTTATAACACACAAAACAATGTAATAAAATTCAGTTTATTTAATGAAAACAATTTTTGTCTTCAAGTACGTTAAAAGAAGAAAAAAAAATCTATAGGAAAATGTTAATTTTATATAATAGTTTTTTTTTTCTTAATTTGAAAGAATTTGATACGCTTCAATCGTTACCAATTACATTATTTATTAGAATTACATTTAATTTAATAGAATGCATTGAAATATGTTCGGTTTTAGTACAACAAAAGTTCGCGTTCACAAAAATATGAAGAACAAATTGTCAAATTTGTAAGAGTATTGGGCAAAGTGAAGAAAATCTCGTACATTACATGGTCACCTCGAATCTGATTAATTCGTATTAAAATATAATCAATCATCAAATGAATTAAGCAAAGGTGAAAAATAATTTTTACTCTCGTCAATGAAACTCCTTTTCTCTTTTCCAATATTAAAATAGAAAACTATATTTTAATTAAAAAATAATTAAAAAATTCGACTAATATTACGCTGTATTAATAATTCTAGGATTCAATTTTTTAATCAAGTAATCGATAAAATCAGCAGCATTTCACTTAGAATTAAATCGTGATCCCATTAAATAATGATGAATCGTCATTATGAGTAATTCCGTTTATGTTCCGGACTTTCCCCCCCCCCCCTCCCAACCCCCCAACCACCCAACCACCCAACCCCCCAACCACCCAACCCCCAATCACTATTTAATGAATTTTCGGCGATCGAGCAACAGCGAGCACCAGCGAGCGCGCCTTTATCAGCTGGAAAATGACTTGCCCCGTGAAAGTAAATGACGTGGGACGTTAAAGCCCCAATTGCGTAGGCATTTGGGTCGCAACAGCTGGTCCGGTACCACGCTGCTGGTCATTGTCGGGGACTTCCCATCGGGGTTGCGTCGCGGTACTTGATGTGGTAGTGGCGGAGGCGTGAAAGGATCGAAAGTAGCGGGGAACTTTCTATCTCTCGGTAGATCAAGTGGCCGCAGAGATTCGGGTCGAATTTGAGAGGCGGCCCAATGGAGTCAAGGTCGCTCTTCGTTATACGTTTACGTACCGTTGGGGACCGAGAGAAAGAACCGTTATACATGTGCCGTTGACCTCGGCACGAGAACTTGTTTTCCGACGCGAATCACCTCTATCGATCGGCGGTGCTACTTTAAATTTTTACGGCTTTAGCCGAGGATCCAAGCGATGGGATCCATACATTCTCGCACTCCTGTGTCTTTGACGTACATTTCAACGACGTGGCTTTTACTTCTTGGAGTTTTATTTATTTTTCAGAGCACGGAGCATAGCCTATAACTGCATTATTTTATGTACAATTTACATTTAATCTTTCGAGATATTTTTTTCTCAAAATTTTTTTTAGTATTATACGATTATCGCTTCTGACATCTTCCTATTTTAAATTTCTGTAAAATACGTTTTTATCATTAAATGTCCTATTAGGTTCGATGTGTTAAAAAAAAAGAAAAAAAGAAGGGCAATATTAATATACAATATTGCTTCTAGTATTTGCACAAGTTTATAATATTTAATTTTCTTGATTTATATGAAATAATTATTCACGTGTTATTCACATGACTTTTATTAGAATGCGAAGAATGCATAAGAATTTTCCTATTTTAAAACGAGTTAACTCTTCTCTAGAAAGCATCCATGACAATAAACATATCAAATTTATGAATAACTATTCGTTATTTTATTATTTTTTAATTTGCATTTCTTATTTGATAATTATAGATCAATTTTCATGCAAGGAGTACTTTCTTCTATCAATCCCATAATGCACATTTAAACAAATTTCTATAATAAGCAAAAATATTATAATATGATTTATTATGATTAGAATTTTTTATTATAAATCTCTATCAATTACGTAATAAGTATATTATAGTAATAATATATATGTATATTTCTATAAATATAAGTATATTTTGCCTAACTTAATTTGATAATCACTCGAATAAAGTTGAATTATTAGTTTTAATAAAATAATTCAATCGTTAAATTCAATATACAATTACATTCCACTTTATGAAAATTAACACTCATATTTATAATTTATAATTATTATAATTTCACCAATAAATTAATTGTCTTGTATTAAATATAAAAATTTTTAGTAATTAAATCTATATGTTTAAATTTGTGTGTTATTAGTAATTGCACAATATTCTTATATATATATATATATATTTTTTTTTTTTATATATAGTTTTTTTTTCGTGACATATTTATTTGCGTGTAAAGAAATTGCATATTGTCAGAAAATCGAATAGCAGATTACTT